AGCATTAAATAACTGCATCTCAACTGGTCATTCTGAGACAGCACCACCAACTAAGAAAAAGGAGAAAAAGGAACAATTGTCCAAAACGCAAAAGCGGAAGTTAGCTGACAAAACAGGTTTGTATAACTTACTCCTAATATAGCTTAACTTTCTTTTAATTAAAAAAGTATGGCATAGAATATATGTTTTATATATAGGATATAGCAAATACAGGATTTTTCCTGTATTGTGATTTATGCTGAACTTTTGTGCACAATAGGTGTTTCTTTGTTTTCTTTGTTTTCTCACAGAATAGTAATGAATCCTGTTACTTTGTGAATGTATGTTGCTGAATTAGAACTATCAGCATGACCAATAGTCAGAGATATTGACAGTTAAAATTAAGAAACATCTGGAAGGCCATAAATTCCCTTCCTCATCACTGCTAAACATTCCCCAGTTTTTCATAACAGTTTGCGATAAGCCAGAGTTGGCAATTTTAAGTTTAACCACAAACTATGATGTAAATTAATACATTAATTTTAAAATAGATGCTTGAATTCAAATTGCACGAATACATACAGAATTTTTATTTTGACTAGATCACAAAGGAGAACTTCCTCGAGGATGGAATTGGGTTGATGTAATCAAGGTAAGAGTTGAAAATTAACAATATTAAAGTGGTAACTTTAGGCGAGATTTTAGCAGTATCTAATATTTTTTTCTTTGTTCTTCTTTTGGATATGAATGATAATGGGATTTCCCTCGTGTTATTATAAAGCATGTAAGTATTTCAATCTTACTGAACCATTTTGAACCATGTTTTTAGTTCTAAGCATCGATATCTGTTTATCTTTTTTGTCTTGATCAGTGTTTCAGAGATTTCGTACTCCATCCTAAAGAAAAAAACTTTAGGGGTTGCCAACCTTTTGGACCTCAGGGATCACCAAACTCATAATTTTAAATCTTGTGGACCAGAGACCATGGGAAAATCCCCAAAAAGTTTGCAGGAAAATTCCCCACCCCATTTTCCTACCGATCATTCTTTATTTGGGATCGCAGGATACCATCTCCAGCTCCGTTCTTGGGGAGAGACTTTTGGCTTCGTGCAAGGAAAGCAGCAGAAGCTGCAGAAGTCTTTCTTTCTCTCCCCAAACTCTGCCACAAATGAGTCTTTGTGAGATTTGTCGCACTGGCGCAGCCTCTTTGAGCAGGATGCCTTGCAGACTCCCAAAGACTCATTTCTGGTAGAGTTTGGGGGAGTGAAAGAAAGACTTTGGCTGCTTTTCTTGCGTGGAGTCAAAAGCAGAAAAAGAAAGAAGCAGTCAGGTGGCAGACGAGTGGGGCAAGTTCCCCCCTTTGCCCTTTCCCCACTCTCCCCACTCCCCTCAGGCAAGCCTTGTGTTCCCGCGGGCCATGTGGGTGGTACAGCCTTGTGTTCCCATGCAGCCTGGATTAATTGCTTTGGGGGGCGCTTTGTGGGTGACATTTCTGTGCGGACCACCAAAATTTTCTTGTGGGCCACCAGTGTTCTCCGGCCCACTGGTTAGCAACCACTGCTGTAGAAGAGAGATTTGCTGAGGCAAATCTCATATAGTATGCAATAATAAAATTAAAATATATCATTGTGATTTTTACAAATGGGTTGCTAAAACTAAATCATTGTAGCATAAGGGCAGTTGAATGCAAAACAGGCAGCCACAATTTCTTTTCACGTTTATATCAGTTACTGGTTCAAATCAGCTAAAAAATTGAGAGCAAAGCCAAAGATTTTCAGCAAATTCTCCAACTTCCTAAAAACACAAAAAGAAGCCCAACTTATTCAGGTATTGTCCCTCAAGTCATGTTGTATCCTTCATATTTCAAAGACTAATTTTAAAAAGGAGGAAGGGGTTAGTCCCAAATATCCATGTGGTCTTTGGAATCCATTAAAAAAAGTATCCAGAAGAGTATCTTAAACATTTTTAAAAAGTATGTGTTTGCATGCATTAGGATTTTAAAAGTTCCCTGCAGATACCATTGTTCAGCAACCACTCTTTCAAAAACCTTTCAAAGTTGCAGTAGTACTGAATGAGGGGGCTTAACAACTGTTCCTCATAGTTGTGACTATTGCAACCTTTCTGTGATCATGTAATTGAAATTTGGGCAGTTGGCAACTAGCTTGCAATTAAAACAGTCACAACATCTCATGGTTATGTGATTGCCATTTGTGAACCTCATTGTTCGCTTTCAGCAAGCAAAGTCAACAGGAAAGCTGACAGGAGATCACAAATGCTGATCATGTGACTGCGGGACACTGCAACCTTGCAGGATTTGCCTAATGACTTATATTGAAACTGGTACAATTGCCATTTAAGTCAGAGTAGTCACATGACATTATGCTATATGACCTCATCACTTAGCAATGGAGTTGTCGCTCCCAAGTATCATTTTTAAGTGAGGACTGTCTGTTAGCAATCCAACATGCATATTCTAGTTTATCACATGTCTCCTAGTCTCTTTAAGTCTCCCCACTGAAGCCATATCATCTACAGCCAGTTATGCCCATTTTGGGAGAAAACCCATATTTACAGCCCATCAAGGGTTTTTCTGATAAGCTTATTGTTTGATTTCAGAAGCGTGTACAAAAAAATGTTAATACCTTTTAAAGAATGTATGGTGTTTAGCACAAATAAAAGAGTTTTATCTAATAATTGTATAAAAACTAATAATGCTATTTTTCATCTAAAAAGACCCATCTTGTTCCTTAATTTCAATTGCTGATCTGGGACATAAAGGTGTTGTTCACTAGGAATAGCCAACATTGTTGACACTATAACTTGCATATTACAATTTTGCTAACTTATACTATGTAGGATATAACTGAGTATAGTAATGCTATGATGAAAATAGCAACAGTTGTGTGTTCTCAGTATGGTTTAGAATAACATTGTCACATTGATTTTAATTGCTCTTTATTGTCACAGAAAAATTATAAAATTATTTTTGTCTTTTTACAGCTGAGCAAAACGGGCTCCAAGGATGATGAATAGGAGGACTTTAATCCACATTGTAATAACATTGATTTTTTCTCCCACAAGTTTTATAAATAACAGTTCCACACATGTTTAAATGTGTTAAAATGTACCCATCAAGAACAATATTTTTCTGGCTTTATGATTTTTGTCCGATCACGTTTTCCTTTAGAGGAAATATGTCAAAGGCAGTGTTGATGTACTTTGTCATGACACTGACTGTAACAATATGTAATTTTAATGTATATTGTTATTCACTAAATCATAAAAATCTTTAGTGGTAAATGAAATCAACATAGCTTATTTTAGTACATTTGCTCTAAAAATTCTAGACCTCTTAATCTTTATATTTGTATTTGAATCCCATGGTTGATTCTTATATATTTACAGTATCATTTCAGATACTATTCATAGCATTCAGCCTTTATCAAAAGGCTGAAAAATGTTATTGTAGCTGATGTTATGAAAAATGTGCACCAGCTTAAATTACATTAAAAAAAGAATGTATAGCCCAATTCAAGTGGGCATCCCCTTTGTGCATAGCATATTCATTATATTCTTCAGTGTGAAATATAAAACAAAACAAGGCCATTAGTTACAAAAAACAATGTGTAGCAACAGTGATTTCTATTTTCATGACAATTTTGCTACTACTACATTACATACTATTGATGTTCCAACACTGGTGCATTCATTTCGTGGCAATTAGCTCTTACCAAAGAACGACTGTCCCCATTATTTAATTGGAAAGTATATATCCAGTATTCTCTAGATAATACCAGTCAGTAAAAAGAGAAATAATATTCATTTGGCAAAGCTGCTAATATATGAAGAAAATAAACAGTTACTAAAGTGGGGCCTACAGATAGGAAAGAAGTAATGATGTAGATCTGAACTCATAAGATAGAAATACCCATTTTTCTGGCTGTTGCTGAACTTCCACAGCCAGTTTCCCTTATCGCTGGCAATCTTGTTCTTGATTGCTGGAAGTTAGCAACGTTTAGAGGTCTTACATTCTCACTATGAAATAAGCTCCATTATAAACAATTGAATTTATTTCTGTGTAGATTACACTATATACAGAATTTCATACAATGCATATGATAAAATAATTACTGGCATTGCTATTGAAAATGCCATTTTTAGTTATATTTATTTTTGCAAAAAATAATGGGATACTGGCTTCAGGTGCTGCCTTCCCCCTTTACTTCAATTTCAATATTTTACTTGGAAAAATTGATATTGTCATTAGTTTTCAGTCAAATTAATAGCTAAGATGATATTTAGATGGATCAGATATCTTGTATTTGAGAAGTCTGCTTTATTAGGTCAGTAGTGATAAAGAATAAGATGCCTTAATACAGTTTTTTTAATTGTTGGGAGGGATTAAATAAATTTCTATTTATCTTTGTTGTGTTTTTATTTATGTTTGGGCTCTTTCTACAGACATTGGGCATGTGGTAGTTAAAAATAGTCTAAATGGAGTGTTCAGTCTTTGTTAAATAAATGGAATTAAAATACATAAATTTGATTTGGCAAAAATATGTATCTAAGTCATGTTAAATATTGCTACCAAATAAAATCTGGTAACTACTTTTAAAACATCAATTTCAGACGGGTTATTGATATACTAATAAGTGAATACATCTAAAAAGTCTGTGATTGAATAAAAGTAAAATTGAAAGATTTGTTGACGAAGGAAGAAGAAGGAAGTATGTACGAATTTACACAAAGCAATAAGCTATAGCTACGAAAAAAAGTAAATTCAAGCTTTTTAAAAAATAAAGGTTTTAAAGCAACAAAGGAAGATTTTAAATGTAGGAGATCTTGCTCTGGACATTGGATGTTAGAAAATAGTAATGGAAAAATAGAAAAACAGCAAAAATATGGCCCAGTATGAAATCCAGCAAGTGAGGGAACACAATGCAAGGATGAGAGTCTCAAGAGAGACCTAAGTTAGCCTGTGTTTGAAGCAAGAGAAACGAAGTGGCACGAAAGAGGGGAACAGCTTTTTGTAGTTTAACTTCTAAATATTTATGATGCAAATTAAAGACTGATTTTTTTTTAGGGGAAAGCTAATGTATCCAGGGTTCCACAAATTAATTTAGTGGGGAAACTAGTTATCTAGAATTTTGTTTATGACATATTGGCAAAGAAGAGCTACACAAGTTTTGGCAGATTATTTGTATAAAAATGTGATTTGTGTGAAATGAATTCATCCTTAAAAAACTAATATATTTGCACCTCTGATGAATCAGTATATTTTCCTGAAGGAAGAGGGAATTTTTTCTCATCTCTTGAGAATCCACAACTGCCAAGCTTCAAAAAATACTGTCCTTTTATTCAATGGGTCCCTGACGGAGAACTTGTTGCTTGTTTCTATGGAACAGAGATCTAGTTACCTTGACAATGTATTTGAGTAGACGAGTTATGGGGGAAAAACAGTTGGAATACCCTATCTCTTCCTCTGCTGATGTTTAACATGCAAACCAGATCTTCTAGGTGCACAAGAGAATATTTAAAAGGTAGGCTATCTGCGTATTCCTACTGTAAAAACTTTTAAGCTGGTGTATTATGATCAGTACAGTTTAAAACCTGTAAAAGAAAAATGATTTCCTAAAGCCTTTAAGCAATTAAAAACAAATTAATTATTATCACTATTATATAGGATATAGTATTAAAATTAATTATTAAAATATTTCTCTGGGAATACAATCTCTTTAAGTACCTAGAGCCATTTTTATTCTCTAAATGGATTAAGTATGTTATTCAATCAATTTATCTACAGTATCCATTTTACTTAAACAGCCACTTAACAAATTTCAGACAAGATAGAGATATATTTTTCTCTTTTCGTCAGGTTTTATGCTAAT